GGAGCGGTCGCCCGGAGAGACGCCGCCGCGCGCGGCCTGTTGGGCGGCGGGCCGCGGAGGGGGCCGGGTCTGCGCCGCTGCTGGGAGGTTCTTGCGTCCCCGGAGTCGTTTCCCCGCCAGTGTTCTCCAGGTAGCTGCTGTTTGGCGGGCACTGTGCCAGGCGCTGAGCGTCGGCAGCAGGCAAACGGGACGAAAACGCTCTGCGCCCGCCAAACCGACGTTCCGGCGCGTGTGCTCAAGAGCGCGGACGGTGCCGGGGAAGCGTCCGGCTGCTGTGGTTCGTAGACGGCGGTGAACCGCGGGGCGGAGTAGGGACGGCTGTGCGATGCCAAGCGCTGTGCACTGGGGAAGCGCGTTCCGAAAGTGGCGTCTGAGCGGAGGCTCGAGGGAGCCGGCGGGCCGGGTTGCGTGAAAGGAGGGGTGGTGGAGGGAGCGGGAACGCGGGAGCCCAGGAGAGTGGGGCGCACCGCCGGGGCGCTGCGGGGAGCCCAGGGCCGAGTGGTGCCGTGCCTGTGGAGATGGAGTGAGGTGAAAGCCAGGGAGGGTTTTTAACACAGGAGTGTGTGAACTTGTTTGAGTTTAAAAGGATCTTTCCGGTTGAGAGTAGATCGTGAGGGAGGAGGTGACAGCAGCAACGCCGTTTTCAGAGCTCTGGCTGTAGCAGTAATGTGTATGAGGGATGCCTTGGGTCCTCTCCTGGGAGAATCGAGGGGTCCCGTGCAGAGGGAGGGAGAGTTTCTGGCCGAGAAGTGGGGGGTTGGAGCTGCCTTTAAGCCAGGTGAGGAAGACATGGTGAGGCGGGTGTGCCCTAGAGAAGGCTGAGCACAGGCTAAATGTGAGGTGCCTGTAGACGCTGAAATTGGAGATGAGGAGGCAGACGGATTGATCTGGAATTGGGAATGGGAACTGAGAATCACCAGCACTTGGACTTGAAAGCCAGGACACTGGATGGTGGCCTGAGGGAGGTGAGGTAGCCGAGAAGACGCGGAACCCAAGGATTGAGACCTGGGTCACTCCAGTGGTGAGAGGGGACAGGTGGAGAATAACCAGCAAGAGAGACTGAGAAGTGGTCAGCAGGCCAAAGCAAGCCTAGAAGAATGTGATGTTTTCAGAAGCCCAGCAAAGAGACTACTTGAGACGGCAGTGACCTGTGTTGAGTGCTGTGCGTAGGCTGGGTAGCTTGAGGACTGTGTTGGACTTAACAACATGGCAATGAGCTGTTCCGCACAGGAAGGGTAGATACAAAAGTTTCATCGTGGTCGATCCAGTGAGCCTGGGAGGAGCCGCGCTGGAGGCAGAGTGTCCTGGCATGGAAGAAGCAGGGAAGTACGGGGACTGTGTTCCGGCGTGAAGGAGCCACTTGTATTTTCTTAATGTTCTCTTTCCATGCACTTACACGTGCTGTGTCTTCTCCCTGGAATTCCCTTTGCTATCTTGATGACTGACGACTTTTTAGTTTTGAAGACTTACCTACAAGTACTTACTGTGTTCATCATTCACAAGGCACTGTCCTGTAAGCTGGGGGTCATACCAGTGAACGAAACAGACGAAAATCCACGACCTTGGGGAAAGGCAGGCGATAAGCTAAGTTCTGTAGTGTGCTAGACAAGTTCTGTAGTGACTTAAATGAAACAGGAAAATAGAGAAGGGTGAGTGCGCAAACATAGGAGGGGAAGGTGACATCTGAATGCGAGGTTGGAGGAGTAGAATGAATGAGCTGTTTATGTATTATGGAAGAAGAAGTTGTAAAATAGAGTTCAAAATAGGGGAGCAAAGATTGAGGTTGAAGAGTGCCTGGCTTATGGCAGGAATATTTAGGTCTTGGAGTGACTACAGTGAGCTAAGGAGAGAGAAGGAATAGTTCAAATCAGAGTGATGAGAGAAGGGAAGAGGGTGGAAGACCATGAGACCGTGTTAACGGCGTTAGGGGTCGGAGCACTGGGGAGGACAGTGCTTGGATGTGGAGACTAAGCTGCATCGGCTGGGCAGCTGTGGAAGCAGTGAGACCCGGCTGTTGCAGAGCCCCAGGGGAGACTGGCCATGCCTTGGACTGGCGTGGGAGCGCTGGGTGTATGAAGAAGGGGTCAGCTCTGGTATATTGCAGAGGTTAACTGGCCTGTGAGAGGGAGCTTCGGCAAAAGCACTTGGAAGAATGGAGTTGACATAAGTGGAAGTGGGGAAGCCCTTGGGGAAGCAGGTGTGGGCAGGCTACATTTGTTATACCTATTTTAGTTGTCTGAGTGGGTCATGGAATAGTCAGTTTAGCCTTTTTGTGGGTGAGGGGGCGGTGAGACAGGCTGTGCAGTTCAGGCTGGCCTTGAAGAACTCACAGCAATCTTCCTTCCACAGCCTCCAGAGTGTCAGGGTTATAGGCATGTGCCATGCCTGGCCAGTTACACCATTTGAATCCAGGAAAACTTAGGAAAGAGATCCAAGCTGAAGATGTACATTCTGGAGGTTTTGGCATCTGTGTGGTTGTTACGGCTTGTATCTTGATGTACCCCTAAAGCCTCATGAGCTCCCAGGTGGGGCTTTTCCAGGGTGCCTGGATCTAGGTGATAAATAAATGAATGTAGATAGCTCTGGATGGGGACGGTGGGAAGCCCCGTCCTGGATGTGGGTGGCTTGTAGCCTGGGTGGAATGGAAGGGGAAAAGAAGGAAGGTGGACTGCTGGTTCCTGCCTGCCAGCCGTGGACTGTTTCTTCTCTATGAGGCCCCTCTGCCTGCCTCCTCTCATGGGAGCCAGCGGACTGTGGACGGAAACAGCTTACAGACTTCAAGCTGAAATAAACTTTTTCTCCTTTAATTTTGGGTGTTAGGTATTTATGAGATAAATGAGAAAAGTGAGACTGGTATTTGATGTGGTGTAACCAAAGAGCAGCAGTCCAGAAGAGCACCTTCTACAGGTTAGAGGAACCTGTAAGAGACTGGGAAGGAGCAGTGGTTCCATGGGAAAGACCTGCCAGGACCTGGGGCTTTGGAAGCCGCAAAGAGGGCTCTTAAGGACGGAGAAATTAACCCTTTTGAATCCATATAGACCTGAAAGGGTGAAGTTAGGTGAGCACCGGGCTGGCCGTGAGCGCTGGCAGCCTGGAGGTGGTGAGGGCCTCTGCAGGGCAGCTCCAGAGAGGAAGAGTGCGGGGGAAGGAGGGGGCGTGGCCCTGCAGGGGAGCTGGCCCACCCAGCAGTGGGAAGAGGGCGGAGGCAGGTGCACGCCAGGTGGACATGGGGAGCTGCTGTCTCAGCAGGTGTGCCGGCGTGAGTGCACAAGCTGACAAAGCAGCGACCGGGCTGGTGTGGACGGCAACTTCGGGAGGCACAGGGTGGTTCCGATGGTGACTGACCGGCAGCTGCAGGCGGGGGTTGGGGAGGGGAAGGAAGAGGTCGGAAGGCCCTCAAACATGGGCGTGCAAGCCATGGGAGGGATCTGGGGAGACACCCCCCACCGGGCAGGATGTGGCCTGCATTCTCGGAGAGGGGTGGCTCAGGCCCCAGGGGACACGGAGGAGAAGGCCCGGGGTGGGATTTCTGCTGGCCACTGACAAGTGTACGGAGGACTAGAGAGAAGACACGGAGACTGTCCTTCCCTGTGGCTGCCGTGACACAGCACACACGAGATGGCTCCAGAGGCTGAGGCGCAAACCTGGTGTCCCAAGTCTGCAGCACAGCCCCTTCTGGTGCTGGGGACAGCCAGACTCCCTTCTCAGCTCCTCCCGCGTCTCGTAGGGTGGTACTGAGGGTGATCTCCCCATTGAGGATCCACTCACCAGTCCATAGACACGGTCCTCGAAGAGTTGGGTATCTTGGAGCCATTTTCCAGCCTCCAGGAGCTGTGTAGGCCACGGGGGACAAGGTTCCCTGGGAGTCTGGGTGCTGTGGACCCTGAAAGTCAGAGAGTTAGGCAGGTGGAGGGGCAGGCTGAGGATCAGCTGGCAGGGGCAGCTTTGTCAAGGAAGGCTGGGGAATAGCACTGACAGCCCAGCTCACGTTGGCACACAGCTTCTGTGTGAGCCTTTCCGGACCTTCCCCTGCCCAGACTGAGCTCACCACTCCTGTGTGCCGTGCTTTGCAGCAGTTCCTCTTGTCATGTTCTGATGTGACTGTGTTCTGGTCCTCCATTTCCACTATGAGACTTCCAGGCCTGATGCATACATACGGGTCTGACAGGCACGTTAGAAGTCCTGCCGCCCTGCCGTCCCCTCCCCTCTGCCGGCAGCGCCTCGGCGCACTGAACTCACGGCTGTCTCAGGCTCACCTCCTGCATCATACCCACAGCATCGAGTCACGTATCCTGCCAGGCCCAGCTCCTACCCCCACCTGGATATGGATGAAAACACATCATTTACCTTTGCAGATACTGCTTTAAATTACTTTTGGTTTCATTCCTACTTTCAAATTTTATGGTTTGCCAAATATGTAGGCACAAAGTATATCTTAGTCGCACTGGTTGCTTTCTAGGATGCGTTTGTCTGTTACCTTTCACTTGTCTTAATCAGTACTGCACCCTTTCCTTTCTTTTTATAACTTTGCCTTTCTCGGCGTTTCTCTTCTTTCCCTTCAGCGATGGAGTCTCCGGGGATGAGGCCTGACTTGGTGACCTCCGCAATCAAGAGGCGTGTGAAAGACAAGAGAGCTTCGAAGACTACCTTGAATGTTTCTCTTGCTTCAAAAATCAAAACAAAAATAATAAGTAAGTGCCATTAGTTCACTCACATTTGTACTTTTTCCTGGAGAAGTGATATGTTCGCTACCATATTTTGTCAAATAGAGAAAATTGCTCAAGTGACTGTGTTGCCAGGCTCTTTTTTCCATTGGTCCTTTCTGTGCCCTAGGCTCCTTTTGGCTGCTCTCACGGTTTACCCTCTGGGTGACAGCTGCATTTTCGACAGGGATGAGCTTTACAGCCCAGGGAAGCCAGCTCCTTTCCTGCACAGAAAAGTGCACCATGACTGCTCAGGAAAAGAGCTGAACGAGCAGAAACCACTCTGGCCTGTGGGGCAACTGGGTGACAGCAGCCGAGGGTGGGCAGAGACGGGGGCTGCAGGGTGGCTGTAGCCAGGGCTTACCACAAAGGCACCATGCCCTGAGGAAGTGGGGGATCGAGCATTCTGGAGCTGTGAGAAGAGCAAAAAGGAAGAGGGAAGACCAGTTTTCATGACCTCTGCAGATGGTGCGAGGGGCAGGGCAGGGTCCTGCAGTCGCATCCCCCAGGAATGACAGCTGGACAGCCGCACCTCTGATGGTCCAGACCACAGTGCTGCCTCTGCCAGGGTCTCAGGGGCCTGGATGTAGCCCGCCTCCCATGGTGCTGCTCTCTGCTCTGGCAGGACCGTGCACGCCTGCTGCTAGGGAGCAGAGTGCTTCGATTGTGCAGCGCAGCCGAAAATGTCATTGCCCCTCAGCTTCTGGAGACCCCAACCCAGTCCCTTTCCTCTGGCAACGCCAGCCAGGGCTGTTTGAAACCATGCTCACCCAAAGGTAAAGTGGTTTTGTGGACTGTGTTTTTCAGATACCCAAATGTCTGTGTTCATTAAAAAATGCTACATTTTGTGAAATTTACTTTTATTTGATGGAATGTCATTGATTGTAGTCCAAGTGGTGAAAGTACAATTATGCTTTAAGTGTACTAAAGGGACAGAATATGTTTAAAGCTAGCTTAACCGAGAACTCATGCTGGAATTTCTTTGCTGCCAGCGGAGGGGCATTTCAGCAATGATTCACATCACATTTGTGTGCACTTTAAAGAGAAGAGGACAAGCATGGGTTTCAGTGGATGCCTCGAGAGGGGGGCCTTTGGGCTGGTGGTGGGCGGTCCCGCGGGGTCTCAGTGCCCCGTCAAGGCACAGCGAGGGTGCTCCCTGTCAGTTGAGGCAGAAAGGATGGCATTTGGGCGCAGGAACTGTATAGCTCGGTTCTGGAGCCACAGAAACTGTCATTTCTAGGACGGGTGTTGACGCAGGAGCAACTTTTCCATCTGCATTCTGGTAGAAGGCAAGAAGGAGAGTGGGCCTTGTACATCTGGCGTCCAGTGCGGTAGCCGGTGTCACTGCCTGGAAGACCGGGTCTGCGCGCGAGGCCGGTCCTTCCTGACGTGCTTCACGCACGCTCTGCCCCTCCCGCAGCTCCGCTCACCTGCCTGGCTCTTAGTTTTCAGCTTCAAACTCTGGGTGCATATTCTCCAAATTGACCTCCATTTTACAGCTTGCAGTTAAGACTTAGAAAGCAAAATGTATTTTGTGTGACGTAGTTTACTATGGGATGTAAAAATCTGTTAAAGTTCATTATTAACTCTTTAAAAATCTTTTTGCAGACAATTCTTCTATTTTCAAAATTTCCCTAAAGCATAACAACAGAGCATTAGCTCAGGCTCTCAGTAGAGAGAAAGAGAACTCTCGAAGAATTGCAACTGAAAAGATGCTATTGCAAAAAGAAGTGGAGAAACTCAATTTCAAGAATACCTTTCTCCAACTAAAGCTGGATAACTTGGTGGGTAAGACACAATGTTTTTGAATTCTAACTTACAATTGAAATCTTTTAACTATATTACTATAGAAACTCTAAAAGTGGTTTTCCTATCTCTGCCTATTGTAAAAGATTGTTGAAAGTCAGCGTTACATAAATCTCTTAAAGGACAAACATTTGTCAAACAGGTTCCTGAAGTCTGACTCTGAAAACGCCTGTGTTTTCTGTAAACCAGGATAAAATACTGTGATTGACAAGGGCTCATCATTAGCAATGCTTGGGACATTAGTACCTTAAAAAATGAGCAAAATTCTTCCAGTAAATTACAAGGAGGGAGTTCCCAGGGGGTTCATGTTGCCCTTTAATCTTAGCGTTTCAGTGGCCACAAGCCAAGTTGAGTGGAGGCTGTAGTTGGTGCTTTTCTTTCGAGCTTCAGGTCTGTCCACAGAATGGGCAGTGAGAGCAAACGGTTATTAACTAGACTGCAACTACACATTTAAATCTGACATAAGCAAAAATTAATTTAAAATGGAAAAATGGAAAAATTTACTTGAAAGTTAAATTCCTGTGGGTGTCCAACTATGTTTACTTGCCATGTAATATTTTATGAGAAGAGAGAAAAGTATAGGAAAATTTATAATTGCTATCTCAGTAGCATTCAAAATCTGTTGATATATGTATGAGTACCTGTGTGGCTGTTTGGAGTATTAAGTATAATCCCTTTTTAGCTCAGAGTGATCACAATAGAGAGTATTCATAAATGTATGGTTGGGTCATTAGTCATTCGTGAAATACAAGTTAAAACAACACTGAGATTCCACCTCACCCCAGTAAGAATGGCTATCATCAAGAAATCAACCAATAACAAATGTTGGTGAGGCTGTGGAGAAAAAGGAACCCTTTTCCACTGCTGGTGGGAGGGTAGACTGGTGAAACCACTGTGGAAATTAGTTTGGAGATTCCTCAGTAAACTAGGGCTAGAGGTCCCATTCAACCCAACTATTTCCCTTTTGGCATTTTCCCAGAAGAATTGAAAACATCATATCATAGCAATATATATGCACCCATGTTTATAGCAGCCCAATTTGTAATAGCTAAATCGTGGAAGCAGCCCGAATGCCTATCAACTGAGGAATGAATAAAAAAGTTGTGATATTTTTATATAATGGAATATTACTTAGCTATAAAGAAAGGTAAACTTGAGGCTTTTATAGGTAAATGGACACAACTAGAGACCATACTCATAAGTGAAATAAATCAGACCTGCATATGTAAATACTGTATTGTCTCACTAGTGTAAGAACCTGAAAGAGTGAATAAAATCTAGGAGGTACAATAGATACTGTCAAAGGGAAGGAAACTGCTCAAAAGGAAAGAACAGCTGGGATGAGGGAAAAGAGAAAAGAAAGAAGGGGAAAAAACATGGATATATGTATACACAGGAAAGCTAACATAGTTGTACTACTGATTTTTATTACTTTATTGAAAGAAACAGTTAATGTTTCAAGTATTTGATCAATCTTACATGCCTATATTTGTTTATCTGAGTAACCAATTTGAAGATACCAATATGTAATACAGCAACCATTTTTAATTTCCTATCACTTTATCTGAAATTCTGTATTGCTTGTATTGTTTTGGGGTTATTTTGTAAATGCATGTGTGTTTGTTAATATGTTTTTGTTCTTTTATCTTTAAAATAAAAAAATTAAATTAAAAAAACAAATTCAAACATAAATGTATGGTTAGAATAAACTCCAAATTTTAACTGATTAAAAGAGGTCTTTATTTTACCTGAACAGAATAAGAAGCTTATAGAAATAGAATCACTCCTGAGCAATAACTTGATAACTGCTATTGAGATGAGCAATCTTTCTGAGGTAAGTAAATTTTTGTGTGAGTAGTGTCATTTGTAGCATTACTGAGGATAATTGAGATTAAGCAGGGTCAAGGTTAGAGGTTTGTATTTTAAACTTTGTACAAAGAAAGGATAGTATCTATTTTAACTGGTGAACAGTACTTCTCATTTTATATTGTTGATCATTGACACTACTACATAAAAGTCAGGTCTTCTTAGGATTACCCACACCTTACTAATGAGGTCACTGGAATTTAGAGTGTGTTAGTTCAGGATCACAGATTGGGAAGCCACAGAGTGGGGTCTGAGTTCAGTAGCTCAGTGGGACACCGTGGCCCTAAGCAGACTCAGACATGGAGGGTTAGTGGAAGATAGTGTTTCCGATGAGGAAAGAGTTGGTATTATCCTAAAATAAAGTGCTAGGCAGAATTGAAAAGCTACTTGGCTGAGCAACTGATTGGAAGGTAACAATATGCACTGGAATTACAATGGTGAACTCCTGCCATCTTGTCTAGTCAAACTCTGTATTATCTCTAATGTTTTATCGAAGAATTATTTTCTTATTCTCTTTCATGGTTTGAGCAGTCTTTCATTCTTACATCTGGTAATCTGAGCAATGTAGTTGAGGATAGCGACATGTAATGTAACAACCACTGCTGCTTCATATTATTTTGTCTGGAAACCCTGTATCACTTTGAATGTTCTTGCTTTGATTTGTTTATGTTCATGATGCTGGTATGCTGCTACTGTTCTATATTTTTGTTTGTTTGTTTCTCATTTACTACTTTCTTTAAAATAAAATAAATTTTTAAAAAAGCTAGTTGGGATGGAAATAGGGGCAGCTTCTACTAAAACCACCCTCTAAAGTAATTCTAGGTGGATTTAAATATTAAAAAGGAGTCATAAGAACTGAGAAGAGAATGAAAATAAATTGAAGTAGGTTGAAGAAGCCATTCTATAAACAAGGATAACCACAAAGGAAATCAGAAATGGAAAGATTTCAGAGAGTTAAAAGTCATTAACATAAAAAAAAAATGCAAACTGGGAAAATTATTTAAACATACGCCAGACAAAATATTAACAGTATCAATAAAAACCATTTGGAATGAGGAAAAGAAAAAGAGAAAAAGAAAGAAGGGTGAAGGATGAAATACTAGTGAAATTAATTCAAGTATGTAAAATAGAAGAAACAGTGTTGGGAGGGAATTACTAATGAGAAGGCAAAATATGCATGATATATAAAACAAAGCAGCATTCATGAAGTCTCAATTTTAGATGAATTCCTCCTAGATTCTGAGGCAGGTAGTGCTTCAGGGTGGCAGGTAACTGAGATTCCTGTACTCGGATCCCGGCCCTGCTGCTCCCTGCTGCCCGCTGCGCCTGTGACCTGGAATGTAAGCACCTGAAGTTTTCATTGTTTGTTAGGCAAGGTGTGGATAATGGTTACATCCAGGAAGTTCTGAGTTAAATTTGGCTAGCATGTGTTCTGACAGTAGAAAGAATGCAACAAATGCTACTTTTTATCATGGGAGTATTTTCCTGTTTTCTGAGTTTTTTGCAAATCCCTCCTTTCATGAACTTCTGAAGGTCACTTTTAGGGCTGTTGTGAGTTTAAACACAGTGTCCTCATGTAAGAAGACCAGAGCTGTGTCAGCCTGTGTGGCCAGTATTCGGCTCCCTTGTCAGAATGTTTTGGACACTGGCCGCTGCCTCTGGCTGCGCATCACGATTGGCTGACCCTGTGTGGTTACTGAGCGGGTGGGAGGGGAGCAGAGTGCGACTGACACTGGAGGACAGGAGGCACCCTGGACCGGGACACGCCTCGCGTCAGGCTCTGCCCTTTCCAGGTGCTTCTCTCTCTCCCCATCTCAGGTAGGCCACAGCCTTTGTGTCTTCACATAAAGCAGGCAACAGCAGAAATACTTCCTCAGTTTCCTCACACACAGACAGGCGCACTCTGCTCAGCCTGGGGCCGTTCTCCTGGGACCGTCCGCACCCCTTGTACGCGCATGCCTCCACTCAGACCGTGACCTCAGAACGCACCTCTGGCTCCACCAGGCTCCTGCTGGGGGACGCTGGGTTGTCAGTTGGTGTTAATTTTTTCCTCTCTAGGTTATTCCCATCAGGATAAAAAGTTCTGTTGCACCGTATCTTAAAAATGCAAAAGGACTTCTTCCTTCCCTCTCAGCTTCTTTCTTGCTTCTTTCCTTTCCAGCAGAATTTTTGGAGAGTTGTTGCTACTGTCGCCCGTTTCCACTAAAGCTGCTCGCGAGAGCCGCTCCTGTTGGGTGAGGGTTGCAGAGCCCCTGACAGGACGCAGCTCTCCCAGCGACCTTCTCAGGACTTGGGCAAGTCTCATAGCCCCTGTGCTGGCTCCTCTTCGTTCTCCCAAGTACCCCAGGCTCAGTTCTTGCTTCTCAGTCTGCACTTGTTCTCCCTGAATAAACCCTTTCTCCGGTCTCTGCTTAGGCCGCCTCCCCCTCTCCAGACAGTGAGGGCATGGCCCGCGGCCCGCCCGTGTGGACATCACCACCGCGCCAGCTCCTCTAGAGTCTCCGTCTGAAGTGTCACCCTGCCTTCTCGCCCTCCCTCCAGCCCTTCGTCTGACCCCTCGGTGTCACCCTCTTCCCATCCAGTTTTCCTGAGCGTTCAGCCCGGGCCCAGCACCTCCTCTGCGGCTCTGCTCTCAGCATGGCAGCCACAGCGACCTGACACCTGTCTCTGCTGGGACCATGGCACATGCCTGTAATCTCACTCAGGAGGATGAGGCAGGAGGATCACAAGTTCCAGCCTGGGCTACATAGTAAGACACTGTCTCAAAGCAACAGCAAAAATGTTTGTCTCTGCCTAAAACCCTCCAGGACTTTGGCCCAGTGTGATCTGAACCCTGAAGCTCCTGCTGGTTCCTCCGTTGTTTATTACTGTCCCTTCCTGTTGCCCTCGGACCTGGTCAGCGCAGGCTTCCTGCATTCCTCTGATACCAGAGAGCAGCTCCCTGTGTGCAGGCTGCCGGGCACACTGGCTCAGCAGTCCCTGCAGGCAGCTTCTTCAGCCACTCCCCGCTGAGCACAGCTGTGACCGTAGCCCATGTCCTGCTTCCTTGCTTTAATGTTTCTTAACTCTGTAAAACACGTAATTTTGTTCCTTCATTTTGCTTATTGTATCCCACCAGAACGTACACTCCTTGCATGCAGGGATTTTTATCTGTACCAGAAAAATAGTCTAAAATATAGTAGAATGCAATGTTTCCCAACTAAGAATAAGGCATTCTGAGAAGCTGAGGCAGGAGGCTGGATCACAAGTTCAAGCCCAACCTGGATGACTTAGCATCTTAGCAAGACTTTTGTCTCAAAATTTAAATTAAAAAAAAAAAAAAAAGACTTGGGAAGGAGACAGAAGGAAGAAAGGAAAGGGGAGAAGAGAGGGAAGGGGAGGAGGGAGTGACAAGGAAAAAGGGAGGATGAGGCTTTGTGTGGTTTGGTTCTGTTTTCTTTTTCTGAAATGAAGTCTTGAGTCCCCACGCTCAAGTGACTCTCCTGCCTCAGCCTCTGAGGAACTGGGGCTACAGATACACCACACTGAGTTTTTTGTCTTCTTCGAAGAGCAGTATGTGTATTACCCTGCAATCCCTCTGTTACTCTGCTTTTTAAGTAAAAAATGCTAAGTAATATGAAACAGTTGTTTAGCATAATGGTCATGTAGTTTTCTTCTTAAGTGTCTTAATATGGGTTACCTAGTAGTTTTAGTAGTTTTCCTAATTTTGCATTTCTGGAATAACTTCAGAAATGATACAGTGTTGAGCCTGGCATGGTGGCACATGCCTATAATCCCAGCACTCAGGAAGCTGAGGCAGGAGGATCATTTCGAGTTCAAGACCAGCCTGGACTACAAAGTGAGCTCAAGGCAAGCCTGAATTGCATAGTGAAACTCTGTCTCAAAAACACACACACAAAGAAGATACATTGTTCTTTTAATCCGCTGCAGAATTATTTTTGCACCTAATTTTGTTTAGGATTTTCTATTTTTTGAGTAAATGAGCTGTCTGTAGTTTTCTTTCAGTATTGTGTTTAGGCACTGATAAAAACATAATATACTCTAAGCTCCTAAAAAACCTGGAAATTTCCTTTCCCTGTGCTCTAGAAAATGATAGTTTCCAAATTCATTTTCTTGGAAAGTTTGGTAGAGTTCTGCTGTGGCTGTCTGGCCCCGGGTGTGGGGAAGAGAGGTGGCTCTTGGTGAGCTCAGGGATTGGTCCCTCGGAAAAGTCCTTCTGTGTCAGTTTTATTTAATTGTCTGTCCTTAGAAAACTGTCTGTAATAAATACCTGTTTTATTTTATTCTTTTAAAAGAATCATCTAATTTATTTTGAATTTTCTATTTAGTGTTTCAAGTTTACTAATTTTTGCATTTATCTTTAGGAAGTCCTTTCTTTGCCTTTCTGTGGCTTGAGTTAGTTTTCTAATTTTGAGTGAATATGTATTTCATCCTATCTCATTCCTTCATGACTCTTGTGGACAAGATGCCATTTCTCTCTTACTGCTGTCAAATTTTTTTCTGTTGTCTTTAGTTGAGAATTTGACATGGGTAGTTTTGGCATGAACTTCCCTGGGTTCATCTCCTTTGGGGTGCACTGTGCTTCTCGGACTTGTGGTAAGCTTGGGGCGTTTCCACCTCGGCTCTGCGGCTGTCCCAGCCCTGCCATCTCCTCTCCGAGGGGACGCTGTACTTGATCAGGTGCTGCCCATGCGTCTCCCAACTGTTCATCTCTTAAATTCTCTTTTCTTTCTCAGTTTGGGTAATTTCTGTTCTGTATTCTGCTTCACTGACTTTTCCTCTCTGTTTTTGCTGTTGAGTCCTTGAAGTTTTATTTTAATTTTCATTCGATTATTGTATGTTTTGGTCCTGAGTTTCCATTTGGTTCTTCACTGATTCTGTTCGCTGACTCACTGGTTCTTTTCTGAGTCTTATTCTTTCTTTCGTTCTGGACAGATTAGTCATTGCTTACTGAAACATTTTTATGTTGCTTAGTTTAAAATCCATGTCAGATAATTTCAGCATTTGTGTTGTATCAGTTTTCCTGGTCCTGTTAGGATGAGTGCTTTTCTGTTGGAACTTGCATGTCCTGGGTGTGCCCTGTCCAGGGACTGTGAGTGTCCTCACTCTTCTGTGTGAGCAGATCCCCCTCCATGCCACACGGGGAGGTAGCAGTGGGGGCAGAGTTCAGGCCTCCGCAGCTTAGGCTTCGGCACCCTGTCCTGGTTGTGAGAGTGACCTCACGGCACGGCTCTGTGGTACATCATTGCCTGGTCTTTTTAAGAATTTTTTAATAAACATATTTCTGTCAGAAAATTTGAAAAACAGCAAAAATATGAGTAATATTACCTGGTCTTTGGATTTTAGAAATGTGTGAAAGAACCTAATTATGTAAGTGTAAAGATCTTATAGACGTGTAGACATACACATGTGTATTCTCATGCATAGAAAAAGGTTTGAGAAGTTACTGAACACATGCTGGCGCGAGCGCCATAGGTCAGGGAGGGCTGGAGCCGTTCCAGCTCGTTGCTCTCACTTCTCCCCTCGGAGGCTGGCCTGGGAACGAGCCGCGCTGTCGCTGTGGTACCCAGAGTAACGTGGCACTTACCTGTTTCTCTCTGGTTTCTTTGTTCTTTCCCAAACCAGTTCCATCAGAGCTCCTTTCTGCCGTCCACTGGCAAGAAGAAACGACCCAGCAGACAGTGCGAGCTGACACGTCTTCCATTCGCAAGGTAATTGCTGCAGAATTCAGTGAATACTGACTTACAGCTTACAGTGTGGAAGAGGGTAGATTGGACTGTTAATAGTTTTAATTTTGTGTGCTGTCTTGAAACACAGAAAAACATTTAAAAATAAGTAATGAAATCTATTTCTAATAACGTGTCGGCAACAGTTGCGTTGCCAACTTTGCAACAGTGAAAGAAATCAGACGTTCTCATAAAATTCAGTTGTGAATGCTGAAGTAGTACTTGGCTTTCTCATGAATACCTCTAGTGAAGAAGGAAGGAAAAAGGAAAGAGAAGGAAGAAGGAAGGGAGGAAAGGAACGAAGGCGGGAGGGAGGGAGGGAGGAAAGGGGAGAAAGAGAAAGGAAAGGAAGGAAGGGTGACGCAGGCAGAGAGGGGAGGGGCGGGGAGGGGAGGCAAGCAGGTGCAGACACAGGTGCACTCTGAGCTCCTCAGAGCAGTTTTCCATGACCCAGTCAGGGTTTGCGTGCCCAGACAACCAGGAGGGTTTGTCGCCCTTGCCCCCTAAGGTCTGTGGGGTCAGTGTGCAGGCTGTGTACATCAGCCCCAAAGAAACTCAGCCCTCAGTGCGGTAACCAGGGTCATCTGTAGTACCCTTCTACTTTTCATTTCTATTCTTTGTTTTAGTCTGTTTTTTTCTGGGGAAATTGTTTCTACCTTCATTGTGTTGCAGGTGCCCAAGCTTTAAGACTGATTTTGGTCCTTGCTTTTCTCCTACTAAGATTCTCATTTCTTGATTTATTCAATAATAAGCCATAGAAAGTGCCCTGCGTGACACCTGAAAAGCCAGTCACTGAGGCCTAGAGAAGTGAAACCGCTCAGGGAGCTGACAGCATGGACTTGAGTCCTCTCCTGCTTTCTGACAGTGTTGGGTCTGTTGTATGACTTACAAGTTTAAGGCACAAAAGTGCCTTGAGTAAAAGCATTAAACCAGTAAAGGTTCTTATATATTAAAATAATGTCTGTTTTTCATAGTAAAAAGGAAAAAAAAGCTCATATCTATTGTGTCACTATTTATCCTAATTTTATCCATTGATGTACCTGTTATATACAGTCCAGTACATTTTAAGTACTGTAGCTTTGAAATAGTACATTTAATTGTTTTGTAGTTCTGTAAGTCTTTTTTAAAAATCCAGTGACATAGCCATATGAGTTGAACAACAGCTTGCTCTCCAGAAAAAGTCATGTGTTTTCTATTTGTTTTTGAGGCAAGGTCTCTTTATGTAGTGCAGGCTGGTCTCAGACTCATGGTGATCCTCCTGCCTCAGTGTCCCAAGTGCTAGGATTACAGGTGTGCACCACCATGCACCAGCTTCATACGTTTAAGTGAATTTTATACGGAGCCTGATCCTGGATCTCGTCATGGTCCAGAGGAGTTTATATTTGTAATCCCAGGAAAAAATTATTGGAATTCTAGCCAGTAAATTCCAGTCTACCACTTAGAGTGCATCCCATGGCAAGAATAAAGAGACAAAGATGTATCTGCAGTTTGGGGAACCAAGGGAGTCCTAAGTCCAGTTGGAACAGTGGCTGACGGGAATAAAGGCCTAGAGCCAGGGCCCAGCCTGTATTAACTCGTGAAGAGAGGAGGGCTCGGAGCTGAGTGACCGTGAGGATGGCGGAAGGACGTGAGTGCTGTGAGCCGGGGCAGGTAGGGGGCACAGCAGCACCTCTGCAGTGTGTGGGGAGAGGTTCGCAGCAGGAGCACCAGACTCCGGACTCTGGAAGCAGAGAGCCTCTAGGTTGGGAGGAATCTGCGTAACGCAGTTTGAGGCAGTATCTTGTGTTCTGGGTCAGAGCCTCAGCTTTCACGGCGGGCCTTCCTGCCCTGGGACGTCACTGCCTCTTTCTCAGTCCCAGCCGACGGTGCAGCGTCTCTCAGCCCAGCTCACACTTAGCAGCAGGGAGCTGGGTGGGCATCACTGACCCGGCACATCGCTTGGAAGGCTGCGCGTCAGCCCCTCACTAGGCCCATCTGCATTGCTAGCGCCGAATGAGAGGTAGGGTGTTTTCCTAGCAGCTCTGTGCGCATCAGTGCACAGAAGGTGTGTAGTGGTGTTGAGTTGAGGTTTGATTTTAATTTCCCTGGTAACTAAGAAAAGGTAAGCATTTGTTCATATGTTTTCTGTCTATTGGATTTCCTACCCCTTTTTTAGGCTGTTCTTCATATGCATGCTTTGTGTGTAACGTATTTCTTTCTACTCTGTGGTTTGCCTATTCATCGTCTCGATGGCATTGTTAGATGAATAGAAATTCTTTATAAAATCTAATTGTGTGTGTGTGTGTGTGTGTGTGTGTGTGTGTGTGTTCCTCCCCACTCCACACCTTTGCAATTTTTGATCACTGCTTTCTGTGAAAAATCTTCATTGTTTACAATGTCACCAGATGTTCTCTTTCCTTCCAGAAGTAGTTTTCTTTTCCATTTCATGTTTGTGTCCTCAGCCTGCCTGGAGAATGGGGTGTGATGGAAGGGAAGACCACAGTTCTTTTCTTCCTGTGAGGATGTTCCATTGATCTTGCACCACTTGTGGGAAACACCGTCCTTTCTCTGCTCTGCTGGGGTCTGTTTCTAAGTGAAACCATCTTAATTACTAGCTTTTTAGCAAGTCTCCCTATTTCAGATGTGAGTCGTCTTTTTAATCCTTTTTTATTCAGTATTATCTTGACTCTTTTGGGGTCTTTTTGCATTTCCTTATGATTTTAGAATAGGCTTGTCAATTTATACACACAAATAAAGCTAGAATTTTGGATGGAATTGTATGGAATGTAGCTCAGTTTGGAGAAAACTGACTTTTTATAAAATACTGTTTCATCTATAAACATGTTGTATCACTCAGTTTACTTTCATATTGTGTTTTTTCTCTGTCTTACAATTTTTTGTACAGTTATTGTATACCTCAATTTATTCCCACTTATTTAGGTTTTAATGGCATTCTGTTTCTTAAGCTTTATTTTCATCTTGATGCTTGTATATACAATTGTTTTCCAGATATTGGCCTTATTCCAAGAAATTTGATTATTGATTCTAGTGGCTTCTCGGGGGGCATTCCTTTCTGTAGTCTGTGAATATAGTTTATTATTTATAAATAAGGATGATTTTCTCTCCCTACACCTCTGAATTCATAGGCCTTTTATTTCTTCCAGCTTCATTGCACTAGTTACTTGCTCTGTGTTGAGTGGAAGTGGTGAGAGCTGTGTCCCAGTTACTGACTGTGTTACTGTCTCCTGGGTGTCCTCACGTCTTTGTCAGGTTACAGAGTCACTTTGCATTCTGGTTGCAAAGACTTTCTTCATAAATGGATGTGGGATTTTTATCAAATGTATTTCCTATCACTATTGAGAAGATACTACTTTTCCTTTTTCTGTTAGTGTAATCAGTTTTTAATGCTTTTCTCTTCCTGCGGTGACTTATAAGGACTGGTTTTGAGAATTAAACCAATTTGCCAGTTGTTTAAAACAGTTTTTGCCTGCAGGTTAGTATAAAAATGGTTTATATTTTTCCATGTTTTGGTGTTTACACTACACTGGTCACGTTCAATGAATTGATAAGTATTTTTCTGTCTTCTGGAAGTGTTTGCTTGAGAGTAGTTATCTGGGGCTGCAGTTTTTGTGTGGAAAGCCTTTTATAGCATACAGTTTCCTTACTAGACACATAGGAATATTCAGATTTTCTGTTTTTTGTGGGGTTTTGAAGGTTCTAAAGAACGTGTTTCTTTCACGTAAGGCATCACAGTGCTGGCTTGCAGGTGCCCGTCATGCCCTTGCTTTGCAGAGCTGTCCTCTGCTTCTTTCTGCGTTGTAAGTTTTGTAACATGCAGAGTTCCGTATTTCCTTCCCTCGTGGCTTTAGGGTTCCATTACCTTCAAATGATGATGATGATGATGATGACAAAGAGAAAACACCGAGGGACAGCAGTGTTGCGCCGAGGGTGTCACCTGACGCTCCGTCTTCAGGATCTGTAAGGCAGTCTGCACCAACTCAGCGTACTGTGGACACGTTATTTCTTAAAGAAAACAGTTGGAACATGCAAGGTCCGGAGGATGCAGAGCATGTTTCTTCTAGTGTCACTGTACCTTCCAAAGGTGAGAGATTGTTTTAAAAATTCATTTTGAGTGTAAGTATTAGTTACATTCACTTTCTCATTGAGGGCAACTAGAGATGTGTGTATGTAAACAGTTAATGAGTTAGATCTGTTACAGATTTGCTGACTTCCACCGTTTAAAACTACTGGTTAAACTTTAAGTTTAGTGTAAAGTAAGTGTGCAAGCTTGACATGGCGGCACACACCTGGAATCCCAGCAGGAGGACCACGAGTCTGAGCCCAGTCTGGGCAACTTAGCAAGACCTGGTCTCAGAATAAAAGCTGCAAATAAGGGCTGGGACATCGCTCAGTGGGAAGACCATGGGTTCAACTCCAGAATCACAAAAGGAAAGAAGAGAAAACCACATCCAGATGCTGGTGCTGTGCGCTCGCTCACAGGGCCAGGGCTGAGGGAGGAGCAGGCCAGGGAGGTTTGCTCGGTTTCCTAGCCTGTGGTTTGAAAGGCCCCAAATGTGTGCTTGGCCTCACCTTTCCTTTCGTAGATCTGAAAACTGGTGGCATAAGTGGGGATAGTGACTTTCAGGATTACAAGCAGTTACTGGTGAAACACAAAGTTGAACCAGTTGAGACTCAGACCTGTTAAGCTTGCACTGCGTTTACGTGTGCTGCTAATGTGTGAGCCAGTGTGGCTGTGGAACCGCAGCTGCCCGGCTTAGCGCTGAGTTACTTTTCCTCCCTGCGAGCGGTGAGTGGCCTGGGCTTTTCCCGGCTCATCCTCACCAGCGCCTTCGGCTTGTTGGCTGTCCCTTTCCTCTGGACGCAGATGTGACTGCACTCAGCACCTCCACTGTCATGGCCGGGCCAGCTTTCAGCAGTGTTGTTTCCCGTAGAGTCGCATGTAAAGTGTGACTTGGGAATCATTTCTAAGTCACATTTTGGGTCATTTCTAATTCACTTCTATCTGCATAGATCTTAGTAATATAAGGATTTGCTAGCTAGCCATGGTGGTGCATACCTGTAATTTCAACACTCAGTAGGCTAAGGCAGGAAGATTGTCAGCTCTATGTCAGCCTGGGGTACATAGCAAGTTCAAGGTTGGCCTGGGCTATGTGGCAAGACCCTGTCTCAAAAACCAACAAATTCTTCAAAGGTTTGCCAGGCATAGTGGTATAGCCCTGTAACCCCAGCATCAGGAGAATGAGGCAGGAGGACCGCCATGAGTTCAAGGCCAGCCTGAGCTACACTGTAAGAACCTGCCCCCCCCAAAAAAATTTTTTTGGAGACAGGGTCTTGCTGTATAGTTTAGGCTGGCTTTGAGTTCAGTATGTAGCCCAGGCTAGCCTCGAACTCGTGGCAATCCTCCTGCCTCAGCCTCCCAAGTGCTGGGATTATAGGCATGCACCACCATGCCCAGCCAAAAAGAATTTTTTAAAAATTGAAAAAATAAAATGAAAAACCCTCCTATGAGATTCTTTACTTATTTCTGAATTTTGTATTTCCTTTATTTTATAGAGAGCCATTCCCACTTAGACCGAAGTTCCCAGCATGCTGTAGTGGATGAGATGACCAGTGACCTGTGCAGCAGCCATGGGAGGGAGAAGCTGTCCCTGAGTAACGTGACAGCGAGGAAGAAGCGCGGGTCGTGCTGGGCCTCGGGCAGCCCTCCTGCAGGTGTGCCCTGCAGGGCAGGCTCGGGGCAGCAGCGGAGTTTGAGTCCAGCCTTGGGCTGGGGAATGGAGACGAAGGACTGTGCTAATGGGAAAAGCATCACAGTGCCCGGAAACCCGCCAGGCCTTGCTGGCCCGCAGGACCCTCCTGCACCTTGCGAGAAGCCTCGCACAGACAGCGCAGGGCACGTGCAGGGTGGTGGGGACCCCCAGGGACAGGCGACCGTGTACGGAGCTGACATGGAGCTCACAGCCACCGATGCCAACACAATCATCACCGTTTCCCGGGGCAGCAGGCGTACGAGCAATAAGAAGATGAGTGATTCTGAAGGCCAGGCGCTCAGGAAGGTGAGAGACCGGAGCTCTGAGACAAAGAGAGAGAGGCCAAAGAAAAGATGTAAAATGAGCGCAGGCGTGGACGCCGAGGGGCAGGCTGAAAGTGGACCGGAGGGAAGCTGTGCGCTCACAGGTGGCAGGGGGGACTCGGGAGACGCCGATTCTGTTCCCAGTGCTGCACAGCTGCCTCCAGCAAAGCCACTGAGGAAAACGACCCTTCCTCGGGGCTCTGGCCCAGCGGACGGGCACGGTGCCCAGTGCAGCAGAGAGGAGGAAGGCGAGTCTGTGGGCGGCGAGCAGGGGCTGGCGTCCTCTTCCTCCCCCCGTGCAGGCGGGGCCACCCGAGCAGGAGGCGTGCACCAGCCCCAGAACGGGATCCCACGAAGTAAAAGTAAAGCTTCCAGGCAGACATTTGTGATTCGCAAGTTAGGAAAAGATTGCTTATTCCCAAACCAAGAGGGTATAGAAACCGTTCCTGGAAACCTCGAAGTTGCACATGAATTTCAGACAGCTGATCTTTCCTCCAAAGAAAATGAAAACTTACGTGCCTGTGAGACCCAGAACATGGTGACGATGAAAACGTGTGTCACTGATAGGCAGCCTGCCCAGCAGGGTCCATCAAAAGTCAGCAAGCTTAAGCAGAAAGTAAACAGAAAGACAGAAATAATTTCTCAGGTAAACCAGAGGTATGAGGACAATGGTCAGGATGTGCATGCCTCCCAACAGAGGAGCATCTTCTTCCAACCCCAAGTGGGTAAAGAGACTGTCTCTGGAAACCTAGGCGTTTCAGAAGACTTTCAGATACTCAGTCCGTTCATGAGAGATCATGGAAACCTATGTGATCATGAGACCCAGAACTTCCTGGATTTGCACAATCCAGTCACCCCCATGTACCCTGTTCAGCAAAATGAGTCCAGAATTAATAAGAAGCTTAGGCAGAAAGTAAATCGGAAGACACAGATAATTTCTGAAGTGAATCATTTTGATGACAAAAGCTGGTGTTGCTCAGAAAAAGGGAACTCTACCTTTCCCCAGAAAGGGAGAGAAACCATCCCTGGGGACCCGAAAGACTTGAATGAATTTCAGCCCCCTGCTCTTCCCACCTGGGACAGTGGGCAGCTGTGTGCTTACGAAACTCAGAACATTTCAGCAGTGAAAAAGCAGATCCGTGGTGTGCAGACAGCGTGTCAGAATGATTCCGAAGCAAGGAAGCTTAGAGGAAAGGGTCATCAAAGTGCAGAAATAATCTCTGAGCCCACCCGCAGCTGTGTGAGCAGGGGCCAAGGCCTGCAGGCGCTAGAACAGGATAACTTTGCTTCTCTCACCCAGAAAGATGCCGAAATCATTTCTGAGAACTCAGAAGTCACACGTGAATTTCAAACAGTTGATCTTCCCACCAAAGATCATGGAAGTTTATGTGACTACGAGACCCAGAAAAGCTGTGTCACCAGTGTGCAACTTCCTCAGCAAAAAGAATCAAAAACAAGTAAGAAGCCTAGGCAGAAAGTAAATCGGAAGACAGAGATAATTTCTGACATGATCCAGGTGTGTGAGGGTATCGATAATGATGTACATGGCCAGAAAAGCTACTCAGAAGATCTCGATTTTAAAGTCAGTAAATCGGAGCCAAGACTCGACCCACAAGGCCTTGTCGGCGAATCCTGTGTGGAGATCCACCATGATGTGGTTCCACATCCGTCTAAACTGGTTAAGAAGCACAGGAGGAAGTCATCAGGCAAGGCAAGGAGCACTTTGAGAAGAGCTCAGAGCACGCTGCCTTTGCCATCGGCCGGTTCTTCACAGACCCCCGCCACCTCGGAGGCCAGCGGGCCGCACCGCAGCAGTGGGCCCCAGTGTACCGCTCAGGGCCCGGCTGCACAGCCTGAGCCTCAGAGGCCGCGCCCCGTAACTCCAGACACAAAAGGCGACGTTCCCTGGGTGGAAGCGAGGAAAGCCGGGCAGTGCCAGGCCACAGAGGTGACCAGGGCGACACCCAGAGCCAAGCGGGGGAAGACCTCCACAGCGCGTCCTCCGCGCTCCAAGGGAGCCTTGGCCCTCACGCCCCTCGCTGCTCACAGGAGGCCTGCTGGCGGTGAGCACGCGGACCAGGAAAACGGGGGCGGGAGCGACAGGAGTGTCGGCGCCCAGCTGGACTGTTACACGAAAGTGCTTCCGCCGTTTTCTCAGATACACCCGCCTCCTGTGCAGCGCTCCTCTGATGGTGTCTCTGAGGGTTCAGCGCCTGAGAGTGTTTCTTCTAGTAAAATCCTGGTCATCAAAGACCACTCTGCCCCTGAGCTCTCGCCCAACCGTCAGGGCCGAGGTGACGGGCACGAGAAGACAAAGGAGGTGCGAGCCAGTGTGGGCCGGAGAGCCCAGAAGCCCGAGGCAGGTAGGCGGCCACTCGAGTTGTGTGCTTCCTGTCGGGATCAGTGCGACTGTGGGACTTGAAACCAGTACATGTGTGTGTGTGTGTGTGTGTGTGTGTCATGAGTTACAGACACAGCACCAAGGGGTTAAAAGTTTAATACGTGGGGAAGACAGTGGCGTGTTGTGGCGTTCAGAACCCACGTAGCAGGTTGGCCATTGCCAGGAAGCTGTGTGCTGCGGCTTCAAGCAGTGAACTTCCTTTTCAAGTTTTGGGAGAAGTTGATTGTTTTACATGTATGTAATGAGCTGCCCCTGTTTTACTTTACCAGATAGTTGCAGGCTTCTTAAACCAACAGCGTGTATGTAGTGTGGTCAAAGCCCTTTCATAGGGGTGTAGAGGGCTGGGCAGGGGACGGTGCTTCCCCAGAAGGCACGTGAGAGGGGAAAGCGGTGAGGTGGGCGTGCAGATACACCGGGGTGTGACTCGAAGAGTTTGCAGAACTCCTGAGAGTAGGCCCTGAGCGACAGGTAAGTGTTCACTACTTATCTACCCCAGTTATTAAAATAATACTGCAGAAAGTCCAAAGCAGAGTCAGAAAGAGCAGGGGTAAGAAGGTCACCAGGAAGAGGACAGCCAACGTTTCCCTTGTGCGGACTCACTTGAATCCGTGGGTTTTTAAGTCTGTATTTGAAATCCTGCCCTGTAACGTCACTGACTCCACTTCCTTTCTTTCACATGACAGCCTAAGAATATTTTTTGCTTTTGCTTGGTTTTTTGTTCTGGCCGAGAGGCCTTGTAACATGTTGTAATGTTAGAAGCTCCTCTACCAATTCTCACGTTTCTGCGTGGAAAGGGACTTCAGTGTCTGTTCGGAGCGCCGGGGTTCGGGCAGCACAGTCTGCCCTCCCGCAGTGCAAAACTTCGCAAGAACTTTTGTCAGCTGATGTGATTTCAGAATAAAAACGCTGCAGGGTTCTGTGATGGTTTGTGTCAAATGTTAAGCCTGTGAATTTCTAAACTTGGCCGCCAGTGATCAGCACTTTACTCCTTATCTGATCACAAGTGTTTGTGGAAATGTCCTTTGCAGGTAACAGAACATTACAGGACTTGACAAACACCAGCTTCTTTCCAAGGAACACCGCGAAGTCTGCGTGCCAGTCAGGAGAGGGGCCTTCCCCGCCACCGAGCAAGAAACGGAGGTGCACGCCGCTCAGCCTGAAGGAGCCCAGTCTCAAAAGGCAAGTGTGCAGGGCGGGGCGGCCTGGGTGTGGACAAGCTGTGCTGTCCGACAGCGGGGCTGGACCTCAGTCAGTTAATCCCACTCAGTCCCCACCCTGCTGTGGTCACTTTTAGATTGTTACTTGATAATTATGACCTTTAACGGTGTCTTCTGTGATGTACTTACCCATTTATTTATTTCCCACCTTGTTCCCTAGAAGTTGTTGTGGTTTCTGTGTACTTTGCTCTCAAAGAGTAACACTCCTTTTTTGTATTTTTTAAAACTTCAAATATACTCCCTGCCGAGAGAGGAGGGCACCTCCAGCCTGAGGCGGCCCTGACCCTGCCGTTGGCTGCGGCGCCCTGGAATCCAGTGTACAGCGTCACGGGGGGACAGTGCGGCATCTCCCGAGAGAGATGCGTTCAACATCTCGGTACAGCCATTTCTTTAAACAGCCCCTGGCCCTTTGCTTCACTCTAGTTTTCTTTATTTGTTTGTTGTTTATTTATTTGTTCCCTTCCTGATTGCACAGTCGCTATGGGTATCAGGCCCAGTGGGTACCAGCACTTTGCTACATTTGCTTCCTCTGTTTTGTTTTGTTTTGTTTTGTTTTGCTTTGTTTTGTTTGGCCATGCTGAGGATTGACTCTGGGGCCTTCACACTGAGCTATATCCCCAGTCTGTTATTTATTTATTTATTTATTTATTTATTTATTTATTATTAATTAATTAAAGGATGTCTTGCCAAGTTGACCAGTCTGAGTTTGTGATCCTCCTGTCTCAGCCTCCCAGAGGGCTGGGATTATGGGCAGTGCACCACTGTGTCCAGATTTAGTGTATTTTTAAAAGCAAATCCCTAATACTGAGTGTTTGATTCCTAGAACATTTCTCTGTGTAACTCTTAAAAAATACGAATTTCTTAACAAAGTTAACAAAACTAGACAAGAATGATCTCGTGTAGCAAATTTAGAAGTAATTCCTACTGTCATCTAAGAGCCAGTCCGTTCAGATGTCCTTGGTTCCTGCAGAAATGCGCACACCCCGTGCAGGTGTTGCGTGCAGGCCCTGGTCTGGCCGAGTGTTTCGGAGACCCCGCCCTGGGACAGCGGGGTCCGCCCGGCCGGCCCAGAAAGCCCTCTACTTCGCCTGCGCGCACAGGTGCAGTGCGCACGCACGGCCGGCAGGTGGCAGCGGTGCAGGGCTGGGCGGAGAAAGAGTGAAGCAAAGGACCAGGGGCTGTTTAAAGAATGGCTGTACCGAGACGTGGAACGCATGTCCTCAGGGGGATGCCGCACTGTCCCCCGTGACAGTGTCCGCTGGATCCCAGTGCGCCGCAGCCACCGGCAGTGTTGGGACCCCCCCTCGGCCGAGCAGCCTGGGCCCCGCCCCGCCCGGCACGGGCTGCAGGGGAGGCGCTGCC